GGGGTGTGGGGGGGGGGGGCGTGGGGACAAATTGAATGGTCGCATTCCACTTTCTGGGGAAAGTCAAGGCTTACCAGTATTTCACTGTGCACCGGCTTTGGTACACTCCAAATTGGCGAGACACTATCTTTCACCTCTAAAAGGGTATCATAAAAGCCAATTGCCTTACGCCAGAACAAAGTCAGACCCTCTCCACCGGGTGGGCACAGTGCTTTGGACGATTACACAAGTTGAACCAGATGTTTACAACTCCTCGTTTATTAGACATTGGGCATGGAGATGCCAAATCTCGGGTGTACTTAGCAAAGGTCACATTTTTTAGAAGCTCCAAAGTTTAACAATCATAATGAATGTTGAAGGGTGTTTGCCAGACAGACCAATGCTTTTGTTCAAGGTTCACAAACACCGAAAGCCTCGAGATAGAAAATGTAGTAATAATTTTTTCCCCTTCCCGTCTGTAAGTTCAAATGCCAAAATGTCCCATCCTTTACTTAACTGTTTGTATTTTTTAATAGTTTGTGGTAAAATTACATTTCAGCAACACTTTTGGAAAAGATGGGATACATTTTTTGTCTGCCACTTTGTTTGGATGGAGGTACAGTTGCATTGTCACCGCCGACACACTTCAAGTCTCACCTTTTGAAAGGAGACACAAAAAGGCACAAAAAAGTTGATCACGAAACATTTTGATGAAGAAAAAAGGATTTGTGTTTTATAAAATTCCCTTATGTTTGATTTGGATATGGGAACTTAAATGCCTTTTTTTACCCGCTGTCCCTCTTGTTCCCATTCCCCTCTCCTTCAGTCCCCGCGTCCCACATTCCATCTCCCTCGGTTTCACACCTTTGTCGGGCAATGGTGACTGCAATGCTTGGGTGCCTTTGGGATGGACTTTTTGGAGTGGAAACAAATGCAAGCTAGAACCTGCTTCAACCTACTTCCATTCCAATACAGTGTCATCCTTCCAGCAGTCTTTTGACAATGGGCGCAGAGAAAGGGAAGAAAATCAAGACATCCCTCATTAGATGGCAAACATCCGCCTCGCCAATGTGAGGGTGGATGAATTTTGATTAAAGGAAAGGGGGTCAAATTTTTTAACATTTTCTATGCACACTCATCGAATTGCTTTGTCGCAATCTATACAAATCAACTGTATTCCACCTCAAAGACATTTTCTTTTCATCTTTAATTTTAATTTGTTAGAACTTGGAGCGGCATTTAAACCACGACGTTGTTGGGTGGTGACTCCCACCCTCGACACACATGCTCCCACTTCACTCACCTCTTCGCCCCTGCCCCGCCTTCCCCTCACCTTCCCTGTGTGTCTACTAAAATTAAAGGCTGGGAAGACCTTGCCCACGGTACATTCTACCTTAACAACAAAACAACCGGAAGTATGTTACTTCCCTTCCTTTGAAAATGTCATTCTCGGATCTATGAAGAATTCCCCATTAACAAACTAACTTCCTTTTCATAGCATTATGCCTTTTCTGCTACTACACTTTTTCCCCACTTTAATCATTCTTTCGGTTGTTACAAAAACTCTTCAATTGCTAGGGACAGTTTTGTATTCTGCTCGCCTAAATCTTGCGTTTTACACGCATTGTGAATGGGCTTGTAAAATTCTGCATCTTCGAGGAGGTGGAGCAGCAGGTTTGTAGGTCCGAGCTAGTGGTAGAAGTGGGTGTGATTATGGAGTTCGATAAAATATGGTCAAGAAATTAGAATTCGGCCTAACCTTCCATCTACCGTATCTGATAAGGACATATGCCAAATGTCCTTCTTCACTTTACTTAACGACTTGTGATTCTTATGTCTTTCACTTACTCTGTTATGCTTGGTATTGTGACATATAGGCGGCGCGTCTGACATTGACAGTCCCCTCCATTTTATGGAGCCAGATTAGTATATACAAAATGCTCCTCCCACTACACCCACACACCCAATTAACGCCGACGCTGTCCCACATTAAAACATGAATTATGCAATTAGCAATGCTCCATACATTTGTGAATATTATGTGAACGCGACAATTAGTGCAATTGCGAAGAGTTGTTAATGTACAAGATTAAAGTGACTTATCGAGTTGGGTTCCGCGCATACCTGCATTCCAGAAGTGTCCACTTTGGTGTAGGCAAAGACAAGTTGTGCGTCCCGACTCTAGTAACATAAAACGCTTCCTCTTCCTCGGCGGTAATGCACAATGCTGACGGTAAGGGTGATTATTTTTTACTCTTTTGACTCAGGATTCGTTGAAAACCTTTCCGTGCTTCGACATTATGACCCACAGGATGGGCATGCATTCATCACTTGATGCGGAATGGCGCTATATTTGCACGAGAATCTTTTTATAGATGTACCTTCAAAGTCAATGGCACATGATGAAATTTTTAAAAGCGTCATTCGCGCTAAAATACTTCGCGACTATGACACTGCAATGGCATACTGCTAAAATACTTTTCCGTTGATCGCCGATTTTTTAATAATCTACTTTACTTAGTTAAGATCCTGACACTACATGGAGCGAAATCGGGGTCTAAGCAATGCTGGAGAGCTAATTGACAGGTATTTTGAGTGCCTTCATCATCCTGACAAAATGCGCTTCGCAGGTATAGTTTTACGCCAAGCTTTGACATGCTTTTATCAAATTAGCTAATTAGTTATAAATGGAGGCTTATTTACTCAAAGGAGCACATTTTGAGTCAAATTTTTAATTAATTTTCACTGGCTTATTAATTTGCAAAAATAAAATTGAGTGTTACTCAATCGGGAAAACAAATTCGTGTGGCAATTTTACAAGATCTAGTGGATAGATATTGTTTGGTCGCATCAGATTACTGTTAGAATAGGAAAAGCGCAACTAGGAAATTAGCTACAAGTCGTTCGTAAACATGTTCATTCGTGTTGTCGTCTTTGATTTGCTATGATGTGATGTCACTCCTTTTAAGCTAGAGAAAATTGTAAAAAGGAGTCAGACCATACTGGAGTTCTGTTGTTGCATAATAGCTAATAGTTCTTACGGAAGATCGCGATGTGATAAGCACCTCAGTTAGTGAGCTTATACTGTGTTTAAGTATGGGACTATGAATCGAAATTTATGTGCTCATTATTATGGATAAGGTTAAGAGATAAGTGTTTACGTGACTGCTTGGTCTCCTTACAATTTTAGGATTTATATAATTTAGTCTACCAGGCAAACGACCTGCAACTGCAAAATTGTTTACCAATTAGCTGTAATTGGTGATTAGTTTAGGTTTTAATGCGTAAGTAATAATTGCCGCGACGTTATGCTTGCTGCTCGACGGTTGATATTGCTAAAGCTGTTTAAAGGCTTTCTTGCAATCAGTAAATTTTGGGCATTGTCGATTTTTGGTCCCGACGAATAATCTTTACTTTCTTTGTCGCCATATCAGAGAAATTGTTTTCTTTTTTAGCTTTAAAAAGCTTAATATTATCACCAAGAATCCCCCCTTTTCGCCTAATGTGCAGCCAGATACCCTCCTATTTTTAATACTTATAAGAAATCAAATCGTCCATTAGTCACGTGACATGGAATCCGTACTTGGACGCATTTTGTGTTCTCTCCTTCGTCATTGCTTTCCTCTTTGAAAATTGCGAATTAATGAGGGTGGTCATTTCGTCTCTTGGTGAGGGGAGAATTTTCAATTTTTAGTCCTCCACTCCCCTCCTCCCAATTTGATTACTATTTGATGACATCTCAGATACGAGGTCGATACATTCAATTTCTTCTTTATCCAAAACAATTTATTGACAGAACCCCTCCTTCACATCGAATGACTAAGCCATTAATACTTGTCTGCAATCACCACACTTTGTTTAAAAGTTACTGCTTAAATAATTTTACGTATAAGGATTTCTATACAATCCTTAACCCTTTGCTTACTCTCTTACTGCGTAAAGGAAAGTCTTCCTCTTGAATTAGTGACAAATGGAAAGTACAAGACAAGATAAAGATTTGCTACACTTGCTGTGCTGTTCGTACTTACGAGTGGTCCCCAGTGATTCCTCTCGCACCTTTAGCACATATTCCAACAAAACCACATGTTATAGTGCTTGCATTAGCGGCTCGTTCTCTACCCCTTCTCCTCCTGCTCACTCTGTCCTTGTTCTCGAAATTTTCACCTTCACGAAACAATTATATTATCAAGTGTTCTGCAAGTTGGTACCTCCTCCGTTTCACGTTGGCATTGTTTTAGGCTTAGTAGGAGCAAAAGTATTGAGTCATGACATTCATGACTCTACACCTTCTCGTCAGCACAAGCTAATCACCTCCTCGTTCTAAAGCCTCACCCAACTTGTGCTATTTTGTTTCCAAAATGGGAGTTAAGTGTTCCCTTGTCTAAAATTGCATACCATTTTGACAACTCAGACGCCGTTAATGCCCAAATCACAAGGCCAATGCGGGCTCTAGGCGCCTACAGTAAAAGTGTGGCATATTTCATCGTCAAAAAGTGGTTCATTGCACGTACGTGTTTATGCTTATAACTATGGCTCTGCAGTGATGAAAGCTAGTATCTCTTTTCGGCATCACCTTGTATTGTCCCACTTGTAAATGACAAGTAATCTCACTATCAGGTTGGGGAGGGGGACTGGAGAACTGCAAAAAAAACAGCAAATTTATTTTTGCTTATACCATGGTTTCACGTAAGTCTTCAAGTACAGAAAGGTCAAAATGTAGGTAAGGAGAATCGATGAGTTGGTCGAATTTGAACACTATAGATATGTTAGAAGTAAATGCCTATTTTGTGTCTCGTAATCCACCTACAAGGTAAAGGTGGGCAACGGGTGTTACCTGTCCACCGGGCGCAAAAAGAACTTGTAGTAATTGTTGCTGGGAGGGACGAATCCCAGTTCTCTGTTGCATTAAAGATTTGGTCAAAATAATTTAAGCAAACACTCGGATTGCTTTTAATCAGGTGTCGGTGTTTTGTCATCCCCTTGACACACTCCGGAATGCTATCCAGTGGCTTCCTCGCCGCCCTCCCCCTTTTCTCTCTACTTCCCTCTCCCCGACACCTCTTAAATGCATTCGTCCGTGAACACTGCGTCCATCGTGTCATCGAGAGGACCATGGTATTCAAATCCACAAAAGGTAAATGGACTTCAGGATAAAAACAAAAGCAAAATAGCCATGCCTGAAAAGTTTTCAGCCTTGTTCAAAAATTTTTTTTATTTAGAGATGATTTATCATGGAACGTGCATATCTCTCACCAAGGTACAACGAGTTCACTCCATGCAAGTCGGTTGGAAATTGCGGATTCAATATGGCATAGCTTCTTATCAAGGCCATCATTCATTTACCGGAGAGGAGGAGGAGGAGGAGTAACAGAAGAATCGCTTACATCTGCCTCAACGCAGTGCCAACTTCACCGCCAATGCTCATTCATAACACTTCCAAGTATTTTGTCTTTCAATGTTTACTTATTAAAGTCTTAGAGGGGTCTGTAAGCTGTCAATGTAGAAAAGTCTAGCAGTTCAGTCCCCCTCCCCCACCCCCCCCGAAATATGCCCCACCGACTCTGGCTTGTAGTCTTCACACAGGACAAACCCAACTTAATGGACAACTTTTTCTCAGTTGGTGGTAGAAATCAGCATTCAGAAGTGCCTGAAGTAAGTCCTCGGATGCAGCTCGCAGTCATGGCCGAGGTGAGATGATACGGCGTCTTCATGTCCACATTAGAGAATCCTTGTTTGTAGCACAAAACGGGTGCATGCAGGTTGATTTGCACATCAGAATTTAATCACGGACGTCGGTTTTGGAAGACAAAGGTAAAATCGCCTTTATAGGTGCCGATCAGTTGGAGTAAAGTCTTCTTAAAGAAAGACGCTAGCTGTCATATCATAAACCTGATCTGTGAGGAAAGAGGCGGGGAAGGAAAACGGTACTGACTCATCCACTGGTTTGTTTTAATGACATTCCTTCGAGTAAAACTGAAGCTAAACGATCCCAAATGAGAGGTAAAAGTGCTCCAGGAGCCTACTTAAACATGACGAGGATGTTTACCTAAGTAGATACACCGCATTCGTATTCTAATAATCCGAGGGGAACGCTCTCTAGCCACCAATCATCCCTTCGACAATTTTAGCAAAGCTTAAATTCTCGTACTGCGATATTCCGTCATTGATTAAACAAAGAACAACGGAAAAAAACAAACAACGGCTTAGCAAAGTAAGCAGACAGCTTTACCAATTTTCTCGTCAGAGTGACACTTTGTAGTCAAATCAATATTTGTCAACTGATAGAACTGACTTCAATCATGACAACGTGCAGCATACTGGGGGCAACACTGATGATGGAAGCTACAGGGAAGTTCTGTCCCATGGAAAGGGGAGACCAAATTGGCCATCTGGTCGGGTTAGACGTGCCACTAGGTGGCCATCGGATTAACGCTTGTTCGGGGCACATTTTCAGCTCTAGTGGCCCCTTCCACAATCAACGGCCTTGAAAGCCATTCCTTTGTGCATACTGGCAGCAGGTGTAATACCCACAGATCCTTCTATGTAAAATGTCCACAAGGTCGTGTACAATCCCGCGCCACTTTATAGCTGCCGCAAGTACATTAGCTATTTCAACAACTTCTGACTTTTGACTCTATCTGGGAAGAGGTGGGAACTCTAGGACTGCCTTGATAACTGTGCCAAATAGTAGACCGGTGCGAGACAATTAAGACCAGCGTGCATGCAGATCTAAGAATAGCAAAACAGAAATGACCAGCATTCCGGAAATTTGAAAGCCATGTTTTGGAGTGGGCAACTTCTTTTTATTCTAGCAAGCGATTAATTTTCACAGAACGGTGACAAAGTCAACTGTATACAGGAAGCTTTAGAGTTCACATGTACAAAAGACGTAGCCAGCTTGCTTTGGATTAGCTGAAAGCTTTTTACCTAATTTGGTAGTGCGATTAACAATAAAATCAAGAAACTAAATATCACATTTTATTGGCTTTGAGTAACATGGTCTAGAGAAGGGACTGGAGAAGGGGTAGGTGTTGAGTGGATACATAAGCTGAGCATTCGAAATAAAGGGAGACCGATAAAGGAGAATTTACAAAAGGTGGGAGAGAGCTAGAGCCATGGAGAGACACAAATGCAAACGGTGGAATGAGGGCGTGGAGGTGGTTTTATCGTACATAGGATGATATATATTCAAGTACGGCCTTGTAGCAGAATTGCAATTGATCCGGTGATTGAATCATTCCAGGACGCTGAGTTCGTAAAAGACGCACCGTCTGCAGAATGTCTACAACACCCTCACAACGCAGACGATCAATAACAATCGAAAGGAGTATAAACACACCAGTGCGCCCTGATCCGCAACTAGATATCATCAAAAAGTGACCGTTGATAATTTGCTACTAGCAAAATTTAAGTACAACAAGTTTTAGGCAATACCTGCAGTGAACGGTAATGGGACCATCCTGTCCAAACTGATCCTTCGTTTTATGTATCTGAGTAATAAAATTTGTAAATGCCTCACAGTTGCTAGGTACACCGACCTCTGGCCATTCAGTGTACTGGAATTGACGAACAGTACGAGAGATGCCGTCTCTCGTATCCGTAACCTTGAACTCCCGAAGAGTGTATGTGGGCATGTTATATTCCACCATAGGATCAATTACAAAGTTCTGGTACCTGGCTGATCGTTTTGACGGCCAATAGGGGTAAGAGTGCTCCTGAAAATTTACAAAGTAAATGGTGTTAAATGTGTCTTGTATAGACAATCAAAAAGCAGGATGGTTGCTCACCTTTCCCTGCTCAGTCGCTTGGCTAATCATGACAATGATGGCCGAATTGTGCTCCCAGCACATTCGCCAGAAGTCTTCCAATGTTTCAGCCATCGGTCCTTGCGTGGCAATATACGCTCTGCGTGTCCGGTAGCTATCAACAAAGCTTGCATTTATGTAGTCTGAACCGTCAACGCCCCTTAGGGGTGTTAGTGCAACTCTTGATTTTTCGTAGGGCAGAACTTCGAAGAAACGGTTTTTGCACTTATTTGGAGAAAGCAATGCAGAAGTAAAGCTTGCTTTTGGCAGGAAAAAGCCCTCTAGTTTCTAAAAGATTAGTGCTTGATATTAGGTACAAGTTCTACTTAAATTTAATTGAGTAAAAATGGCTTCCACCCGAATCCCACCTTAAATTCAATGTCAAATCCACAGTATCCCATGCCATCCGGTTGTAAGAGGGAGTTGTACTGAGCACAGAGACCTCTGGCCGGAACTTCAGTATAGCCGCCTTCAGCCATTTCGAGTAGAGCATCATATACGAAGATGTACTGTTCTTCCGTTTGAACCATGAAATTCCGTTGGGCTCTCAGTGCTGTCACGCAGCCAAGAACATCGACTGCATTTTCGTACTTCATCTGATCGTGCATGATATCCAGTGCAATCAATGCGCCTATTGAGGGAACCATGTAATTTTAGTTAAAATTGGCTTGTTAAGGGCAGTGTGAAATTAAAGGTCAAATGATTAGTGGTTCTATGTGTCACTGCTTTAATTTTCGTGAATTACGGCGATGAATTTCCATATCTACTGATTTGGGAGTAACTTAGGACTGGGTGCTGCCACGTTATCACTCAATTTACTTCTGTCGGAGGCATGCACGAACCGTAACATCTGTCATGAACGCCCTTGTTATATGGCAAGTATACAAAATGAAAGCAATCAGGACAGAAAGGACTGAAGGAAAAAAAATTAGTGATTTAGCCCAATCTCTTTGTAAGGTAAATAAACATTGGCATTAACGTGAGTGTTCAGACGGAATGAGAACTTTTGCGTTTATTGATGTGGAATGAAGTGCACGACGCACGACCATGTTTGGCGCTGTGTCGGCAACGGCCGATACATCTCGTTGGCAAGACAACCTACTTCAAGTAGACAAATGCCTTCGAGGTCTCTATTAAAAAGAAAAAGAGACATTCTTTCCAGATCTCGATACGCATAAATGGACTGATTGAATGACTTAATAGTTTTCAAGGTGGACAGCCGTATCCGACTGCGCCAGCGGCAGAGCGAACCCCAGTGCATTTAGTGAGTGGGTGAAGCACCTGATCGGCGTGGTGCATGCGGCTTGGAAAATGACTTTGTTAAAATTTTGCAACGGGTATTTTCTGTTTGAGATTTCCATATGCACTGCGCCTACATTAGTTTTGCTCTTCCCAATTTGTGCATTTCTCCTCCTTGCCCAAACGTTCTTCATGCCTTCTCGCTCCCAATTTTTTTCTTAATCAAACAATCGAATACGGTACATTCTTTAAGTTTACAATGAAATTCAAGTAAAAGTCTACGAACTGCAAGTGAATAACAAAATATATTGCGTAAGTGATTGTCTAAGCGATAATTGAGTGGTAAAATGCATTTACGTGCTACAACATTATCTGTACCTACAATCGTCTGGCATTGCACCGCATGAGTGTTTAAATGATGCGCATTTCAAAAAAGCGTCCTTGTAAATGGGCGTGAGGTGTCCTCCTCAGTCAATTATGATGCTGAGGGTACTACTGAGCCATGTAACAGTCTGAGAGCCCTGCAGATGGGTCCCTACTACGAAAGCCTTTAAGAATAGTATTTGCTGAACCCATCATGGCTCTCACAGACGTGACCATAAACAAAAGGGACTAATGTTAAGTAACTTTAATAGTTCACACTGAAAGTTTCGTAATTCTATCACCTTTAATCCTTCTTATGCACCAACTCCACTGTTTGTCTCAACTCTCTGGAGTTGGTGGCTACAAAATCACCCTCGAAATCTCCCTCTTTACTCATCTAGCTTACCGGTTCTGCCCACACCAGCGGAGCAGTGAACCACTAAGGGTCCAGAAGTCGCTGGATCCGAATCACTGGAAGCCAAGGATGTGGATGCAGCCCCACCCGTGATAAGGGACACTGACTCCCGACTACCTTGTGTGGTGACCGCGCGTCGGATTCGTCTCATAAAAAGGAGCAGTGGAATGGGTGGACTATCGGGTACACCATGGTCGGGCCAGCTAGTGAATTGGAGGTGAGTGACCTCTCTCACCTCATTGCCACTGCAATGAGCGATGGTAAAACGGCGGATGGTGAAGTAGGCAAGCTCTATCATACCCTCTGGACTTGGCAGTGGAGCGACAGTAATTGCTCCATTGGCGTAGGTCTCGGATCCCCGAGAAGGCCAGTACTGATCGCACTTAATGCGAGCTCGCTCCTCCAAACGGGTCATCATGACGATGATAGACACACGTTGCTCCCAGATCATGCGCCAGAAATCCGAGTAGGTCTCCGGCAGGGGACCCTGAAGAACCAATAATTAAATCGTTTTTAGACTCTGCAATCCCAAACACTATTCGGTAGCTGCAGCAATGACCAACTGACGATAACATCCACTTCACCATACAACTGATGCCTTGCACTCAAAGTGGCGCAAATAAATCGTGTAAAAGCCTACTGGGAATTTAAATTTTTGTAACGGTACATCCCAATTTGTAGTTAAATGCCATTAGAGAATTGCATAATTTTCCAAAACATGATTTATGCAAAAATTTATTTATATTTTGTGTTTTACTAATATTTTGGAAGTTTCCCATTGGATTTTAGAGAAGCAAACTGATATGTGGGGAAGAAATTGCCATGCGCAACAATCTTACTTGCCTCCTTCACCCGACGACTGATGCCAATTTAAGTAGTCGTGCGTGGAGTGGGAAAAAATTGAATTGGTGGTCAAATCAATGTGGAGAATATAGCGACTGGCCTTAGCGGCCTTTGTGAGTTCAGATCGACGTTATGTAGACTTAAAATAGTCAGAAATTCCATGCACGACCTGACACCGTTTCGCAATAATCGCGGCCATCCAAGAAGAATCAAACATGCTATTGCTTTTTGTAGCTAAAAGTGTAATCTGCCATAACTCATGAAAAATTGTAAAACCTAGGTCAATTACATGTCTAAATATACAAAAAACTATGATTAACTCACAGTTTTATGCAATTTTGGTGCAATTATAGCCTATCTGTTGAGCGAATCGGACCAAACTGGACCCCTGAGACGCATGGATTTAAATCATGACTTCTTGTGCAGCGTTTAGAGGCAATAATAAAGCAGAATGTGCAGTCAGGGTATGGTCTACAACGCTTGCGACATGCAACAGAAAGACTAGAACTATAAAAGTCTTTCACCGTTTGATCACGACGGTCTGCAAAGTAGCATGCGCAACTGCATCAATTCTTAGAACAAATTGTACCAGAAACGCTGCCATCCCAGATGGGCACCAAAACTTTAAGAGACCGTGCAGGATCCGATCAAGTCATGATAATCCAGTTCTATTAATCAATCAGAAAACACCTTTCTCTAAGCAGCACTTTCTGGTTGACTTTCACAGTCAGGCAAATTAAAGGATGGGCTTTTTGTTACCCGAATTTTATTAGACACAAACATTCCTCAAACAGAAAACTCAATTAGGGGCAAGTGGCCAACTTCCTCTTTCCTCAACTTTTGATGCGAATGCACATGAGGATACTCGTCAAGTAATAGCCAATCATCTGCCGAGGATTTATTTGTCCTCTCCAGACGCCGACCAATCAGCACGCTCCAATGGATCGCCAGAATTTGATCGATGGAAAAAAGTTTCGACAATTAGACTGCGGAATGAACAGGTCTATAAATCCCGCTTTAAATGTAATCTATCGCTTTTGATTGGTTACTGTCTTTATCATTTTGCTTCAATGCTATTTAATCATTTAACCATCCTCCCTGCCATGGAGGTGCGTAAAAATACGCCCTAAAGAGATGCCTTGGTTTTAGTTTTAAAAGGCTCAAAAATACAAATGGCTCCTTTACCACACCAACGACTTATTCACCTCAAAGACAAAATTTGGGAGATTTTGTAATTTTAATCTTCCTTTCAACCGTTTGACGTTCAAATCCTTGCTCGCATTTTTTGCCCTTATCCTCCTTTTATTCTTTAAACAATAGCTTTTGCTATTCAACAAAACATGTGTATTTGACCTTTTTCGTTGTGTGCTTGAGAATAAAATTTGGCCTAAGTTGGGTGCGGGTAAAGTTGCGATGGTCATGCAGTAAACCTTCTTTTAGTCCACCAAAGCATTGTTATTGCTTCTACAACTAGGCAAGGGACAAATTGCCGCCACTAATTTCCTCACCTGACCATTTTCTTCCCATAAATGTGCCAAATTCATGTACTAATGGCTCTGTGATTTGTGGTCCAGTTATGGGGGGTTAAGGAAATACTTTAATCTCGCCCATTTGATGCCAAAAACACTACAAGAGTCAAGTGATCATTGCCTACCTCCTCCGTTATCAAAAAAAAAGTCGACTTCCGTTGAGTGGTTTTGGATAACAAATGATTCGACTAAACATGCTTAGGCAAGTGCACACCGGAAATTATCCACAAATCTTCCTGTTCTCCTTTTTGATCCCTCGCCCTGTCCAACTCATTCGTCGTTCCTCTTTATGGTAGAATGATTTTGGAGAGATGAATCTCACCTGTGTGGCAATGTAACAGTTGGGCTTTTTATATCCATCAATGTAATTTGCATTGATGTAGTCCGAACCGGGAACGCCTTCGAGGGCCCTCAAAATGACACGAGAGTGATCGTAGGCGACAACATTGGCATAGCGATTCTTCGCCTTATTCACCTCCAAGTTCGAGTTCTCCCAGGTGAATTGGTGACCGGGATCAATGGACTCGTATTCCTGGGAGAAGAGTCGATTGTCGTCGGCACTCAGCTTGACGATGTGCTCTGCCAGATAGGCGGCCGGTATGGGCCTTTGTGAATGCGAATCTGATGAGGCGGAATGAAGAAGAAAGTGAGGCACAATTCTCGCTTCTGTCCACCTTTCCAGTGGGTAAATATAATGACTTTCTTTTGCATAGAAGGGTGAATTTGTCTACATTTTGTTTTCTTCTTCTTTTAAGGCGCGAGAATCAAATTATAGCCACATTCACCGCCACCCTCACACGCACATGCGCTAGTTCGTTTTGCCTTCATTAATTCTTTGGATAAAATTTCCTATTCCCAGATTAAAACAAAGGAAGAAAAGGAGAGGAGGCTACGAAAAGAAATTTTTCTTTGCCATCTAAAATGTGGGAAACTTTCCACTTTGATAATTTTAATGAATTAAAAGGAAAGAAAGTCGTAGGCGGTAAGATTGTAAAACACTTCCTCCTCAAAGGATGTACTGTATAATGAATTAATGCAGGAGAAAAAGTACACAAATAATTTGTCTTGCATTTCTTCCAACTCTCTTGGTTCAAATAAATTTGGACTATTTTCTAGGGAGGAAGAAGAGTATTTACTGCCAAGGTTTTGGCTCTTTAATTATGCACTGAGCCATGAGAAGGTTACTAGGAGGTATCAAATGAGAGGGCAGTGAGAAGGCATACGGAGAATGTATCAACTTGCCTGATGTATCAGTAGCCCATCAAGCATCTAATCACCCAGCATTCAGATGCCAACTCACTTCTATCAAACCCAACTCCTTCATCCGTGTGCCAAATGAAGCATTACCGATGACAAACAGGGGCGAGACAAGGAGGAGGAAGTGATGATGTCAGCACCAGCTTGCTGTTGACACATTGTTGCTAGATTACAGATGCTTTCACAATGCCTTCACACTTCACCTCGTCACACCTCTCCATGAGTCATGCAATTAAGATTTCATTAGCTGCAAACTTCTTACATTGTGTGGCTATGGTATGGTCGTTTTTCCACCCATCGTTAAGATTCAGTTAAAAAAAGCCACAGATGAGATTATCCATTCGAGGCAAACAAATCAACTCAAATTTTTGTGATGTACAAAAGAGGGATGGCATTGTCGTTACTGGTGGATTAACCAACAGTAGATCCCTGTTATTCTCTGAATAGCATATTTGACGCTCCTTAACATAAAGTTGCCAAAAACGACAACCTACTGTTGCCATAAAAGAGATGTTGCAGTTCCACACTGTTGGCGTCCTCGGTGGTAGCAGCGTCATTGGCGAAGAGACCTCTGGTGGGACCGTCGCCAAGAGATGCAATTTTCGAGGCTAACATGTGGCGATTGAAGGTGTTGTAGGGTCCACCACCACCCAATCTTGAAAGTCCACCATTAAGTCGTGGCGAGGTAGGATAAACGCTACAAGAGACGCTGCTTCCATCCATTAGATCACCCTTATTGTCCTCACTCACAGAAGGAAAGAGTGCTCCCATAGGTGGTCGAGTGCCACTTCCACCACCGCCACCACCGGACAGACCCGAGGATGAATCAGAGCGATAGGGATAACTGCTTCGTGGAAAACTGTTGATATGCGTCGCAACTGTGGGATCCTGGAGGATTAAACAACTCATCTGAAGTCCATTAATAACGATTATTACCGGTCAGCATGTCCTGTTCGACAAGTTCTAAGAGTGGGTAACCACCAGTGACAAGAAATGATAATAACCTCTTACTAGGGTATTGGACCCACCTGAGTACCATTATGATAAGTCACACAAGTTGGAGGCATTCCAACTAATTGCGTGTAGCCGGGTGGAGACATGGAAAGTGCTCCGTTATTAGCACAAATTGTCCCCGTAATTGGTGGAGCGCAGTTGTAAAAGGCTCCAGCCGGAGCTTGCGAGGAAGTCACACCATCTGCCACATTCATTAGGGGCTGCTTCAGACTCTGATCCAGATTCGTTGGCCGTGCCAAGAGCTTGGGCTTTCGGCGTCGTCTTTGGATTAAAAAGAAAAATGAATGCAAGCAATTGTTTCGGGCCTACATTCAACAGTCATCAAATACCATTTTGACTGGTAAAGAAGTAGAACTTTGCCGTTATTTATTTAAAAATTCTTTGTTGTTTTCTCTCTGACGGCTTTCCCTCCATCCTCTTTCTCACCCAATGGGTAAATTAGGAAGAAACTTATAGCAATGAACTACTTTAGAAAAGCAAAGAGTTGCCCATAAAAACGTGTGTTGAATACACCCTTGGGAAACTTGCCAATTTTAGTGGGAAAAAAAGGGGTTTTGCGAAGAGAATGTACAAGCGTTTGCAGCTTCCTTTTTGCCTTTTAGTATCTTTTTTACGTGGGATTACATCCACATCACCGCCTAATCTCATTCTCATGTCAAAGCTTGCTCAAGGATTAGAGGAGAATCCTTATGCTCCAAAATAATTTTGTGATTTTGCTGTTAATGCCAGTTTATATTTAAATAAATTGAGCTCTTTTGAGTTAACAAGAGCTAAAGTTTGTTTGGGGACGGGAAGAGACTCAAGTTGACCCCTTTCTGAGGGCTTACAGAAAGGCCTCTCAAAAAGTTTTAAGCGTAAGTGGGAGAACCAACGCAAGGCGGCATCTCGTACCTGAAAATGCAAACCAGGACGGTGCAAATCGTGGTAACCACAGCAGCTCCAAGGATGACAGCCACAACTGAGACAGTGTAGAGGTCAGTTGAGCCAAATGCCAAGGAGCTGTCACTTGTGGAGCCCATAGTGGGGGACAAATGACCCGATGGAGCCCTCAATTCCAGTAGGGCTGGCAGGTAAGGATCCGTCGCAAATGGAGGCGACCACGGGGAGGCCGTACACGTTCCAAAACCGTCCATTGTGGATCCATTGCCTTGAAAGGTGCATGCTAGTACCAGAGCCTAGGTGAATCGTAAAATGCAACTCCCGCCAGGTGCGCAAATCACTGATGAGATCTTAGTTGGTAACTCACAATAATAAAAGTCAAGATCTCGCATTCCTTCTATGCTTCTAAGGGCAAACAACTGGCTAAATTTAAGCACTAAAACTTGTGCAGTATTATCACACTGCCTCAACAAAGTCTATTTCGGATGGGTGAAAGACGGTCGACTTGAGATTGAACTCCAACACGAGTCACACAAATGCAAAAATAATTTCCTTTTCAGAGCATTTAAGCAAAGTGTGAGCTCATTGATGCAACTTGATTTTCGAAGGTAATAACCTACGTGGGTGGGATCGGAGAACACGTAAGTAGGGATGACTATTTCAGGCATTAAAATTAAAAATTTTATGCCACCTTACAAAATCTCCTCAAATTTTGCTGAGATAAGTCTCGGCTTGGTCGAATCTGATATTTATTAATTGCTTATTTTATGTCATTTGAGTCACAAATCGGGCATATTCGAGAAGGGTTGATAGCAGAGGGAACGCCATGAATGCTAAAATGTCTTGAATGTTGCCTTACACAGTAGACTTGGCCAGCTTCAAGAGGTTTGTTATCAAATACAACAGCCGCGTCTAAGTAGGCGGCAGCTGCAACCGAAGCCTCATCCACCGAGCCCGCGTCGTTAAGAAGCCAATTTTGTTGCGAGTTTGTGGAGTAAACTTTACTCCGAACGACAGCAGAACTGCGACGTCTACGCTGTGCACCAATGGTGAACGGTGGTGGTGGTGGTGGTGGCGGAGGAGGAGGAGGAGGGGGAGGAGGAGGTAGGGTGGGCGAGGTGATTCCATTGCTTCCGCCAAGGATGAAGTCTCGAGAACTTGTTCCCGCTGGTTCAAAGTAGTCTTGTGTAAACCGGGCTGCAATGTAGCGTGTTTTTGTAGATGGCAACTTCCGTGAAGATGCAATTATCTGCAAGTGTACAAAACACAATCATAGATGGTTTCCACTTTAGAAACCTTAGTTTATGCTGGTACGTCATGAACTCTCCCTTGATGAACTGCACATCAGCTTGTGCAGCATTTCAAAAGCCCTAAACTCTCATCCCCTTAAGGTGGTCGCAAGTGGTAAACAGTCTCCAGTACATTTGACTCGGAGCCTTAAACGTCTCATGCCTCGGTAAAAAGGTCATTTAAACACATGCTTGACACAGAGGAGGATAGCATAGAGGTTGACAATAGCAGCATGTATGTCGTTAATTTATCTGCTTTAACCAAGAGGTTACCGATTCATCACCATTTGGCTAATGCAGCTTGCCTTGTCAAGTCTACTTAGGAAGGAGGTTTATATTGGATAAAACCTTCTTGTCTACTAGGAGGAGGAGGAGGAGGAGGAGTGATCAATTAACAAAATCACCATTTCATGCCAAAACACAACTGCATAACACAGAAAAGGGACTAATGATTGTGTCCACTCGGATGTAAAGGCAGGGTAAATGACACAGTCATCTTTAATTATCCCGCGTTTAGGCCATAAAGAGGGGTAAAAAACTAGTGGTCAAGTGTGAGGTGACGTTTCAGTAACTTCCTATAAAAATCTAATCAAAAAGTGAATCCCCTCTTTAGGCTTTATTAGTTATCAGCATGGCAAAAAGTTTTGTGCGTGCGTGGATGTATGCATGACGGACATTGTCAGGAGTGACACAAGCCTCACAATCTTGACGGATGTCTTAGAACTTGACACGAGGTGGGAAAATTTATTTATTCTTCCCTTTCGTCCTCCCTCGCCTTCCCTACCCCCTGATTCAACAATCTCTCCTCCTTCTTTCCTATCCTCCTGCCAAAGAAGTAGACTGGGTGGGGAAATTTTGTTTAAGGAAGGGAAACCGCTGGGGTTGTGGCTTCGTGAAATAAATCTTTCAAAATACTGCCTCACGAACGCAGAACTGTGAACCGGAAAAAAAAAAGTTGGAGATTTTGGTATGTCAACGGTTAAAGTGTTGAGAACGAGACATCTTACCTCATCAACCATAAGCATATCCAAAGGAGCTGTTGTGAGATGCCAAGGGCTAACCACCATGTAGTACTGGCGAATTTTTCCAAGTCGTTCACTAACTCGAAAGACTTTCATGTTAACCTGTTTCCGATCCTCCAAGGCTGAAATTGGTAGAGGAGGAGCGACTTTCTCTGGTTCTAAAATGATTTAAAGTGGCAACTACGCATCACCCAAAACCAAACCAACATTCGAGCAAAGCAAGAGACAACTGAAAGATGCGAAACAATTGAAATTGCGATTGCAACATCTACGATATATGCAATGACTGGTTCCACTAAATTGCGTAGTAGATTTATGGAGTGAAAAGCAATAAAGTAGGTTTAAAATGTTTCTGGTTTCGTGACTATGGAAATGACCTGAGTAGCAGATGATATGGTCAAAAGCAGTGGCAACGCTTAATGGCGCATTAGATCATATCATTGTGAGGCTGTAATAGACCAACACTTTGACAATTGAACAATAACCCCACCAAAACAGAATTTACGCTTTTAAGTTCAACATGAAGTGCCTACACCTAGGTGTGACCATCAATGAAAAGTTTTTTTTTTTTGAAGTACTCACTTGCTTGGAAGTTTAAACAACTGTTGCGCACATTTCAAACCACAGGGATTTCCGTTGGACCCAACTTCCGGTCCTAGGAATGGGTGTGTTTAGACTCCGAAATGTTATCAATGTGGACTCAAAAAGCGCCATGTTGACCATCCTATTTTAAAAAAAGGCTCGAGATTGTCTCCCTTGGCGGCCAAATTTATCAGTAAGCCTTAAAATTTGGGCAACTAGGTGGAGTTTGGATGTTGAATCCGATTGAACGACTCACTTTGCATTTCAGTGTGACAGCTTGTGGTCTCCCAGTTGCTTTCAAGATTCATTCCAGTTTCATAGTAAGCATTGACCTGAATGTCATAGATGGTGTTTGGCTCCAAATCCTTGACAACGTAGTCATAGCCATCTTGAGCATCGAAGAAGGCTTGTCGAGCACTTCGTGGATCGAAAGTCTGTCGCCGTATAACACCAGATTCATCGGCATACTCCTTCGAACCAGATGCTCGTATCTGAAACCAAATCCAAGTGGTATAATAAAACTAAGTTTTATCGCAACAAGTTGTGCCTCCTATTTTTCCCACTCCTCAAAACTAATTGGTAGAGAACAGCAAGTACCAATATGGGAAACTGCTCTAACCTCTTTGAATCCTATCACCCCAAATTTCGTCCCATTTTTGATACATCTTAAAACATCACTACAACCTTCTATATTTTTCATGTTAAACTCATTGCTGACCATCTGTAAGCTCCCATCAGCCAGTGTGTGAGTCAGCGACGTTTTCACACCTATGGAACTGGAAATAACATGTGGTCTTTGGTTAGACGTTTGACCACTCGAGATTCCAGAGTCTGTGGCAGAACCCATCATTTATATAACTCTGAAAAATGGAATAAAGTTGGAAGAATCTAACTTTGTGAAAGCGTGCATGTAATATCTTCAACTTCGACCTTGCACATTGGACAGAAGGAAAGTGCAGTAGATGCAGGAAGCAATTTAAGTAGTCCTGTCATGTTTTGTTGGCGTAGAAGACTAAAAAATGCATCTCCTCCCCTTTTAACCGATTTGTGTATAAAATATGAAATAATGCAAGGACGCTGTTGTCCTCTATTTTATTCCGGGTCACATTTTTTCCCACCCACAAAGATAGCTCGAATCTCACACATTTCTCGTGATAAGTTTCTCTCTTCCTCTCTCTCTTTTTTTCCCTATCCTGCTTGCATTAAATCAACCACTTTGGCACTGAGCAAGAGTGTGAATTAGCACGAAAGAATAGAGGAGCTTTGGGGTTGTGCCTGTCCACTACAGGTCCATCTCAAAGCCCAAGGAACAGTTACGCACTGGATGGTGAGTTCACTTCGAACGGTGGTGTAAGAGGTAGCTACTGTATCAGCAGCACTGGTGATGTGTAGGGTGGAAAAAGAGTACAAGAAGGCGAGATTTAGGCATGGGTGTTGACATTGTCACAAAAATACTGGCTTTATGGAAACTAAAACGAGCTGCTAGGCTGTTTGTCTTTGTTAGAACAACTCAAAATAACCTCTTCCTCCTAACTAGGTCAGAGTGATTGTCAGTTGTACTGGTCAATGATGTCTCTACTCCACTCTCAAAGGCGGCTAAAGGATATGAGATTAGTGATAGAGTAACTTACATTAAAACCAACCAGTCCTTTTGTGTTTTCAGGCCGTTGCCAAGTGATCTTAGCACTTGTGAGCCCAGGAATGCATAGAAGACCTCTCACAGAGTAATCAGTTCCCCACGTGGCCATAGTGGATCGAGCAACAGCGGGTGGATCACTCCACTCGCCGTAGCGACCATCAGGACCCTTAGACTTGACTCGGATGATGTAGGGCGACTTGCTTTGGAGGTGAGAAATGATGGCCATCTGGAAAGGTCCCACCTCATACGTAGTCCATCCCGAGGAGTCATAAGGACTATCGTTCGGAGCGTAGAGGATCTGAAAACCCTGAATCGCAGCATGGCGGTAATTGGTGCGTGCGTAAGGAGAGGAGGCAAGTCGAGTGGCTGAGGTGTCGACCTCCGGCATTCGCCAAGTCACCTTGATTTGGTGTTGGTTGATCCGGATCGCTTGCACATCAATAGGCGGTGGGGGCCCTACAAATACCACATGACAGAAGTAGCTAGTTGAAGGAGCAATCGGCGAAAATATAGCAATAAACGAGCTGTCAAAGTTGGTTACCTTTTTTGCCTTAAAATGTCGGTACAGGTTTGTTAGAATCTGACCCATTAACCAGTCAAAAATATGTTTATAAATTTGGTCAAACACAGAACCCTTTATTTGTCACTTTCAAATTTGATTAACTGGGACCTTCTTTAATAGACATGAATCAGCATTGAAGGGAAGATTCATCAGAATTGGCTGTCAATAATGGACAGGATGTTTGGTTACCCAAAAAAAAAAATCCTGAGATATTTGCTCCTTGCAATGCCCAAAAGAGGAAGGCAAGAAGGCGGCCATGTGAATTCATTACGAAACGCCTTTCATAGCGTCAGCTGCTTTCCTGTTTCTCTACCTTCATGACTGCCAGCAAGGAGGGTAGTTTAGCCAACTCCCAAGGTGCATGCACAAACCTACACAATTACAAGCCCAGTGACAGAGAGACAACCCACTGCCCTCGTTGTTGATCCTAACGCGATGGTGAAACGCATGTCACGGCATTGAAATGGCATTTTCTTCCCCACCCCCTCCCATTTCCCAAACGTCACTGAATACGAGATTAACTTCACTTCTTCCCTCCTCTTCGGTGCATTGAAGGCAAATGTGCTGTTTTGCTTAAAATAACTTCGAGAAAAGAAAAAAAGACTGTCATGCGCATCTTTTTTGATAAATGAGCTTTCCATGATAGCTGTCTGCTCTTAAGTTCTCATCCTTTTCCTCCAGATTTGACAAAAATCAGCCTAAAGGACTGCCTTAAAGTCGGTTCCAAATGATTTTACGACCATCTCTCCATTCATTCAGGGAAAATGAGGAGTTGTTGCACAATAAGCCCGTGAATCACTGATGAGCCTCTCCTCATCCACTTTGTAAAAGTGCATTTCTCAGGCTGAGGAAACACTGTGTCAGTTAAAGTGAACGTCTCTTTAAGGGCGCCTGATAATTCAATTGAAATCTTGACTACTCTTAGGAGACATCAACACAGACATCATGAGTGAGATATTTTTTTTTAGGATGTAACGCTTTCGTTTATTGAGAACTTGTAGGAATTGACGTAGTGGAAAACCTCTCACGAACCAGTGGCAGCAAATCCAGAAGAATTCACCTTTCATTCTTCGACCACCAAAGCTGAAGGCAATGGGAGTCTACACAGCTGGGGCCCTTCCAAGGCGCCAAAATGGATGAACATGCGGTGACCTCAACACACCCATCGAGACAGTCTTGTCTGCTGGTAATTAGTGTTTTTAGAAAAAAAACCCCTAGTAAGTATCCCCTTTTAACGTCTATCTTTGAAATTAAATTAGCCTAGCGTGTCTCGGCGTCCCAAGGCGTGCAACCACTTACGGTCTGTTTATAGCCCTTATTTAATTATGAACCTCACTGCAATTTCCAGCCAAAGTGAAGAACACTGAAATCCGCCCTAATGGCAACACTTTTTAACAACGCACAAAAAAATTCATTCCGGAGTTCTGCTAAGAACGATAGTACTTACATCCCGACAATCTAACCGACTCACTTGCTTTGTAGCTTAAGGTGGTGATAGCACTCAGTGATCCTTTCAAACCTTCAGCCTAGGTGTGCGGAGGGGAGGAGGGGGGAAGACGAGGGGTGGGAAAGCTGGGAAAAAACTGCACACACCTATAAGAAGCTCCGGATTTTAAAACATACTTATCTTCTGCTCATTCAACTTGGCAGTAGTTAACACTACAGGTCAATTATTAATGAGGACTATCCCCTGAGCAATGCAGAAATGGCCATCTTAACCTACTCCTCAACCCACCTTCACTGAACCAGACAGGAGAGTTGAAAACCCCACCACCAGTCAGTTATGGGTGGGTGAAGACGCCCATGTGGCTGTCGGAATAACGCCGGATGACAATAAGTTCTTTGACTACCATAAAATAATCAGAGTAGAATAATTTTGAATTTAGGCTGTGGTAGGATAGATCGTAGCTACTCAGTGCTCCCAAATGCATAGGTGATGGGACACAACTTTGCGAGTCACTCACACAGCAACATAAAATCGCCCACTCAGACAGAATGGCAAATAATCACAATACGAGTGGCTCCATAAAACTTTCAGTAAATGAAGAGTACAGAGTAATCAACTCCTCCGCATGAAGCTCAGACGTTCTATGCATCAGTAGTTTTAATTTTGTATGGCCACCATTCACGCTTCTTTGATCATCGTCCTTCGTTTGCACGAATGCATTCACTTTGGGTCAGAATAGGGTAAAAATTCACTTAAAAGCATTAAAATAACTTTTAGCTCATCACTCTCTAGATGAGGAGCATAATTTTGTTGACAGAGTCAAAAAATGAGGTACTTGTGTAGAAAGGAGATGCGTACTTTCCCCAGTTGTCTGGAAGGTGTTGGATCGGGTCCACGGGCCGGGACCACTGTTGGTGAAAGCTCTCACCATAAAGTGGTAGTAGGTCTGTGTTTTAAGATCCCTAGCCGTGTACTTCAATTGCTCCGGCACAAGCACATCGAAGAGTTGTTCAGTCTCACTCTCTGCACCGTCTTCATAGTAGCGAACCTGATAGCTGGTGAGACGTCCATTCCGTGTGTGCAAAGCAGGCGGTTCCCAGGTCACTTCAACCTCACTAGGACTGATTCCACGGACTCGCAGTTTTAGGGGAAAGCTAGAGGGATCTAATATAAGTGGAGAGAAAAGGCATTAGAGGTTGAAGTCACTAAACTTCTCCATCTCACATCATGCCACGAGAGCATTTTAGTGTCTGTAGGAGACATGCGAAGAGATAAGGGTGATTCACTGTGTCTAACTCGTTTGCAGGTTTTTTTTTAAATTTCAGCTCTTTAATTCAAACGAAAATTGCATAGCCAAAACGAAAGCAAAAAGAGAGTGGCTCAGAAGTTGACTGAGCATTTGCATAGTTGGCATTCGGCCAGTGCACAGCACAAAACGTCGGTTGATGAAAATGAACAAGGAGGGATTACTGATAGCTAAATTCATTCCCTCAACTACTCTTTCCCAATAAAAGATAGGAACAAAATAGAAAAAAAGGGTACAATAGGGTGCTATGAGGTGTCCTTGTTACACTTTTAATCGACAGAGGGCTTTAAGTTTCCATAATTGTGCTTCCAACAGTCGGCCTAGCTGGAGCACAGCATATCAGTCCCCCTTTGCTTTGATATAACACATTCGTCCCTAGCGGTACGACTTCTTTTGATTTCAAAGAAGACTCAGGGAGCTGGATAAGATTTCACTCTGAGGGCCAAATGTCTCTTGAGGGATTGAATTTGACGTCTTCCCTTAGTAATTATTCTATTTCCGTGAGCTGGAGGAATAATGTCAGTAACCAGGGAGACACAAACAGTCAATAGTCGGAAAAATCTGTAAAAATGGATTCAATACAATTGCTAAAAGTTGCCACAGGCTGTGCATCACCAAGAAATTGACACAAATCTCTATTTTCAAGAAAGTATGCTAAATTTTGCCCTTTTCACTTCCTTTTTCATACAACTTGTAACGGATTTGGACTGCAGTTTATTCACTCCTCGCCTCCTGGATCGCGGTCCTCAAACCCAGTGGAGTTAGTGCCATCGCATCCAAACTCAACCTCATTTGGACGACAATTTAATGACTGGCGCGATTTGTTTACACCGTCGGTGTGTGTCGAAGGTAGATCAGGGGAGGAGAACATTGTAACGCCAATCTTTTTTTTTTTAATGATACCTTTTGGTTACGAGGCTATGTAGACCACCTTTTTGTACTTCTGCTGGAGAATAAAACCTCCGGGTCATGGAAGTACCTTGTCAATCTGCCTGTGCGTCGAAAAATACACCTTTTGCTCCAGTGATAGTATCATTTATAACCTCAGGGAAAACATGACCTTACGCAGTGGTAAATCTGAACTCTTTACTCCTTTCCTCCTGTTGTTGGCAGCTGACACCTTCAATATCGTCAAGCTCATTGCCCTAAACGCTTTTCTTAAGCAACAAGCCAGCCTTAGTCTTAAAGATTAGGCAAGTCGTCTGAAACAGTGGTGCAAATATGGAGTTAAATCCTTTTTTCTAGAATCGGTGAGGAAATTTTTAACTCCATCAGTGCTTTTGACAAAAGGCGCCTAGTTTGATAGCATATCATTGTCATCTTAGCTAAATCCATTCTCCGCGAGATGGCAATGCCCTAAAAACTCATAATTGTTTATGGTCTGGTCTACGATGCCTGATTTTAATTCACTTGGAAATGGCAGTAATATTAGCAATAATTTTTTTTTTGGTTACTAAAGATTTTAACTTGAAGAATAGACGGAGTAGTGCTCCTTCAAAGTGTTGGACCAGACAATGGGGAAGAACTTACAGCTTTCTGGGGTAGTAACATTGATTCTCTCTACAATTCCATTCAGAGTTGAATTGACCACGGCCACTTGGAATTCGTAGGTGATGCCAAAGCCTGCAATACACAAAATGGGACCTTCAATGTTGTACAATTAGATACCTTTCCCATTGACGAGAGGAGGAGGAACATTGTACGGTGCCATTGGGCATCAAGCGAACGAACTGGACCACCTCTAACACAAATTTGACTTCCACACCTCAAGCTAGTTGTAGCACAAGCTTCAAAAAGAAAGTGACATTAAACAGGAGGAAGTGTTTACTTTAGATCGAGGGCCAAAATAGGTGGCGCACGTGTTGAGAGTGCGTTGAATAAACACTGAATAATGGATTACTGTCACTCACTGTCACCAATTTCTTCGAGCTGTAGTGAAGCCCTTGGAGGGGTCTTATACGTTGGCTTTTTCTTCGAACAAATTGTTGCGTACTGTGGATACACCACCAGAGTTACACCACAGATACATTACTTTTGGCATTGTCTGTGTGTTGCGTGTTACAACTGTTTTAAAGTGCAAATATGCGCTTCTTCATTAATCTCTATTTAACCGGATAAAAAATAAACCTCTTAGCCTTCTTGGTGAGGTCTAAATCAGCCTCCTGGCGTGACACAATACTATTTCAATGATTTTATGGTCCAAATAATTGCAATTCTGAAAGGACGAGGAGGGTGATTTGGATCCCATTACAGCATGAACTGTATAGTGTGGTGTGGGAAAAGGTAAGGGGAAGGACTAAATCGGGCCAAACTGTATTTTAACCGTGTAACATCTTACCACGTATCAACCATAGCGAGACAGTCGTATTGGAGAGTGCTTGAAGGCACCACTAATCACATCGTAACCACCAAACCTTCACCTCATCCACGATTTGGTGGTATTTTTGAAAGAAGGTATCTTTAGGAGAGGCTAAGGGATATCAGCATTTCTCAAGAATGGATCCCGATGGATGTGAAGAGAGAGTCAGTAACAAAGGCAATGGGGCGAAACAACGACTCGTCAATTAGCTTTACCTAACCTTGTAAAAAAACCTAAGCAATCATCCCAACAGCACGATAGATTACGTAAACACTGCTTGTTACCATGACATTTAGGCTAAAGGTGGAATTGTCACACTCTTCCGTGTGACTCTTCCCAGTGAATTCAATTGAGGAGCGGCAAGGTAAAAAGCATAACCTCTCACGATTTGCACTTCATTATTAGACAACTTCTAAGGTCTTGGAGGTTTAGAAGAGAAAAAAAGGCAATGTGAACGAAATCAAAGGAATGGAAGGGATTTTTATCTTCCCTACTCCAGACAGCAGTCGGTCCGATTTCATTATCTCAGACGCATCAGTCGGCTTTTCAGACGGTGGATATTAAGAATGAAACATTCCTTCCGACAGCATTACACCTTACTGTGTCGAACTTGACTGAAGTATTCGTCTAAACGCTAATGCGTCTCAAAGCATCTGCGTAAGTTTTTTTTTTGTTAGTGTTGTTGTTTAAAAGAAGGTGCTGAATTTGCAACGCTTTAGTTGATATCGCTAATGCGAGTGTATCAATCGTCATTCGGTCCTAACTGAGAAATCATAACATTCGCACTTCCCCGGCTTTATTTTAGTGCTCATATAACAGCAAATGCAAGAGGGAACACTCAAGAGCTAATATAACAGGGTGTGCGAATTAGGATACAAATTAATGGTTTGCTAAAATACCCTTTGTTGCAGCAACAACACCTGATATAAAACGCAAACTAGTTAAGAGACAAATTTGGGACTGCTTTAATGTCCCTAATAAAATGTGTGATGTTTAGGGAAGCTCCCGAGGTGGTTTCGACCTACGACCCTCGAAAGTTTCCCCTTTTTTGAACCTCATAGACACAGAGACTTGCTTTTTTTTAGGAGTGCGGGCTATCTGCATTCTCATTGGGCAACAACACAGCATTCACCTGACCTTGAAAATATGATCATCCTAAGAACTCCTCATTCCTAAATTAACAGACAGAACGGCATAATTAATCCACTGAACGCAATTCTGTGGCACATTAAAACTTTCAACGCGACTATATTGTTTGTGCTAAACAAGCATACCGTCGCGTTCCTGATTAAACCATCATTCATCACGTAGACCATACTTTTTCAAGGATAAAAGGAGAGTAGAAAATTCACTTTCCCGATTTCATCTTCCTAATTAAAGTAGCTCATCTTATCGGGAACGGATCACATTTGAAAACTTTCGTCCCTTTAGTTTAGTTGCATCGCCTCTCCAAAGACAGAGTTTTGTGTGATGATTTGCGGGGTTTACCTCTTATTTCACATTTTACTTTAAAATGGATACATTCTCCGAGTGATCGCCCACAGAATAGAAGGGAGGCTTGAGTTTAATCATTCATGACAATGTTACCCAAGTGCAAGTCAATTAAAGCCTCCTCCATTGTTTTGCTTTCAGCTTTATTGTCTATTTTCATTCAGTCATTTATCCCCCAAGGGTGCTTGCCCCATCCCCCAGACCACTCCTCTTCCAGCAGGCAAATCAGCCACACTTCTACCAAAAACAGTTTAGTTTTGAAGTATTTACAAATTAAAAGTTACAAACCCATAAATAGTTGTTTTTATTCCTGCAGAGTGGACTGAAAAGCAGGACCTTACTCGGTCACGCCTAGGTTATTGCCCCAACTTCATTAACTCACCCAAATCATCTCCTTCTGTGGAAGAAAAGGATTCAGTTGAAACATTTGCCAAAATTTTAGTCCCTTCAACCCACGCGCCAGCGCGCTTTGCGGCTAGCACAGAAGCATATTCACCACTCTCTGGAACACGAGCTTCTGTGGCCACCAGCGGTAGCACTATGGGCCTTGCACTAACCTACACACAAAGAAATAATATTATGAGGGCAGATTTCGAGAGCAGCGTTGCTGATTAAGCTTTAAGAAGCCACACCTGATAGATTAGTGCGCCTTCGGTGTTGGCGAATTCTGATGGACGAACCCATGTCAACTCGAGAACTACGTAGGGCAGACCAAGGGTACTCCTCGGATCCTCTCTTGACGAGGGGAATCGGCGCGGTTGCTTCTCCAACTGAGACACCTTTAATTTTAACGGACGCAGAGGAGCTAAAGGTAAAAAAAGTACAATTCTTTGGCATTAATAAGTACAGTGGAATTACCTTCTGACAAAGACAGACATTCCAATTAAACTCCTCGCATTCAGCACTGCATTAACGGTAAAACACGCCTGTTGCGTGAATTTTAAGTCCATTTTTCCATTTTGGATTTGCTAAACAAAGACAAACCCAGAAGCCTTAAGAGCACTTGCCTCTGAGGTGATGCAACTAATTTTTCAAGCAAAGGAACTAAACGCTGCGGAGTAATAACCACACTTCCTCCACTTGACCCAAATCCCAAGTTAATGAGACGGCAAAGACCAGGCCTAGATAATGATAATAAAATGCCCATAAACACCGGCACTAACAAAGTAAATTTCGGTATAGAGTACTATCATGAATGCGGATCATGAGTTCCGCGGGTATAATGCCCAACAGTGGGGACATAAGAATGGAGAAAAGTGGATAAACCAAAGCCAGGATGAATCACTGTCCACCCATCGTGACTCAGACAATGGGTCCCAGGCATAATAGCCAGTCTCTTCGTTTATACCCACTGAAAATTCCTTGCCTTTGGGGGACAGGCAGCAAAGCAGATGTCGATTTCTCCACTTTATCACCACTGTCTTCTTGGAGTAGGATGAAAGCGCTATGGTTTAAAATTCAGGGGAAGTGGGGGGTAGGGGGTGTCAGCCCGAACGCCTTCATGATCCACGACTCGTATTCCAGCCAAATGGAGAAGCAGTATCCGTCAAGCATAAGTGGCGCTGGGCTATCAACTCCACCATCTAGAATGCGTGCCCCAGTATTGGCCAAGAAGGGAGAAACAGTGATTTGAATGCATACACAGAATGAAGCGAGGGGGAAGAAATGCCTTACTTTAGCCGCGACGGCATTATCATACCTGCTATTCTAAATTACAATTTCCGAAGGGCTTTGTGACATTTCAGAGGCCAGAAAACAGCCGTCTGGAATGAATTTAGGATTGCATGGTCACTTTATTTTATCCAGTCTTGCTAGTAATGAGACAGCGACAAGGGGAAAAATGTTGACTACCACTAGGCACGACTGAGACCGTCTAGCGAACAATAACTCTGCTGTCATTTATTATTAAAGAGCGCACTCCCCTATGCGAGGTGGACCAAAAAACAAGCTGAGACGCAGGCAAAGATAACAAAAATCGCAGTCAAGATGGCGCTACCGCATAGAGGATAGGGAGGGCTTGAAAATGCGCATATATAGCCACCGGTGATTTACGCTTGCCTTTAACAGGACAATCAGAAGTTGATGGGTTTTTTACGGAGAAATCCCTGCCTTGTCATGGCAACTTAACTTTCTCTACGTGAAGCAATTTTGTTCACCGTCATTTTTTTTGGGGGCAGAAGAAAGTGGTACATTGTTAGAATTCGAAGTCATCGCAAGGCAAATTAAATGTGCGCATTCCCAATGGGCTAAAATCCTGTGCAGACCGACGTTTAAAGTGGAACGGGTTGCTGCTGGGTTAAGTGCTGGTTTAACCTAGGTTTGTTTATGACAGTTGTTGGGCGGATGAAATGTCCTTCGTGTTTAACCGATTTAGAAGGGAAAAGGGGCGCTTTTCTTTCGCTTTTCCTTACGTGATGCGTGTACGTTTCTCGTAGGAGAGGGTGGAGAAAGTGGAGAAGCAATGAGTGGAACTTTCTTTACAGTCGGTGGAGAGATACATGGGAAGGGCCTTTTTGTGTTGCGAATATCAGTTTTACTGATTCAAATGAAAAAGACAGGAAGAGAAAGGCAATAAAAGATGAGATTGGAAAAAATAACAATAAAGCAGCTACAATTGGTTGTTAGTGTGAGAAGAGGAGGATAGAGGAACAGGCAAATCTCAGCGACACAGCGTAGTCTACCTGCAAAAAAACTCCGTAACTCAGCCCAGTGTACAAAAATTTGCATTTTTTTACTAGCAAAAGCTCAAAAGAAGGATGTTTTGCGGTATGAAATGGGCGTACAAATTAAACGACATTTGTTTTGAGGGCATTTGTGTGGCTACCCCTCTCACGTCTTGTAAGAAGTGGCATTAGTCAGTCTAACGTGCAAATTGCTAACATAGTCCGAGTGACTAATGCGGATTTGTAAGTGTTAAAAAAAATTGCAGCGACAACTCCTTTTTACTTCCCGCCAAATGGGTGTTGTGTTGTGCTGTAGCACGCCTGTCGTCCTCGTGAGGCTGAGATGGCCATGAAAATGCGGATGACATCTTGACTCCCCCACCGAGTCTCATGTCAAAAGGTGACAGGTCTACCGTCCTATGATTATTTCTAACCTCGGACTAGTCGCACCCTTCGTGAGATTTTAGTAATGGCCAAATACTTCATCAGAGAAAGTCACGGGACCTAGCCGCAAGCCGATAAATACCCCAGCAGTAGGAGTGATCCACTTCCATGTGGAAAGACGTGGGCTATAAGGATGCTGAGATCATACTAAATGGATATGAACGTTTTTTTTTAACACAGGAATCATTCCACACCTGGGGGTGTACTTTATTGTTGAATTTATGCTCCCGCATACAACCTGAAAAGCCTTCCCAAGCCTTGACATTAATTTTGTCGGAAACTTCCATTGAGCTCCTCTAGCAAAAGCGCATCTTTTATGCGAAAAATAGGCTTTGGCATAGTTCATTTGGAGGGCGAGTAGCAGCTCCATCCTTATGCTTCATTAAAAATGCTGTGTGAGAACTCGGCATCAATTCATGGTATATGTCAGCAGAGGTATAAAACACACCCAAGCCAAGTTATGAGGTACACGAGAGTACACAGAGAGCAGCCGAGAACCAATAATAAGTCCCAATTACAGTCTGCTCCATTTTGTGACACAAAACACAAATTTTACTACATTTGATGGCATGAAGCTGAGAGAAGTCGTAAAACGCCTTTAAGGCGTGGACTAAAGAACATTGAGTGAAACGTGCAGATCCTGTCACTTATCACAAGAAGCATCGCTTCATTAAAAGGAGTGTGGAAGAGGGGCATTGCAGGTCATGCCGGAACGCAATATGGAGCTCACCCGCACTAAAATCAGGCTAGGCCAGATGCACCTATGAATTTTTATTGGATGCACGTTGTAGTATCAGGTCAACCACCTCATCGCCCGCCTTTTGAAGGCACGCAGGACGGTAATCCGTCTTTTCTCATCAAAACGATTGAAGGGATCGCGATTTTAACCTTTATAGTAGAAAGTAAGAGCAAATAAAGTGCTAGCTAAAGGGGACTTAATTCCTGAATTAATGAACCATTCTACTTTAACAGCCTTTTAAGCAAGATCTCAGGGGTGCACAGAGGTATGAGTTTTACCGTTCTAATGCCACGAAAACGCCTCATTTTGTCTATCTAGGTTTATCCATAGTAAGTTCTCCAACCTAAACGCTCCACGTACGCATGCCACACATTTCTGACACTGTTGACAAGCCAACAAGATCAGAAAGCAGCTATTAATGATTGGATGAAGCCGTGAAAGGCAAGCCGAAGAGATCTCAGTGGAGGGGCCCAATGCTACAGTGCTAAGACTACTGATAAACCAATGCAATCCTCCCCATGGGATTTCAAAGATCATTTTTGAAGGTAAGCATGGCCTGGTTTGAGAAATGAGGTGACGATACTCACCGATAATTTGCTTTCTCAGTTGCCAATAAGACTGCCAATCGGAAGTGGCTTCCAACGGCGATACACCAAGGAGTATACCGATAGCGAAAAATATCCACACAAACATTGGCAAATGTGGCTTTTTGGCCTTTTTTCGTGCCAAAACTTGACTACACCGTTTTTGTGTTCTATCAAACTAGATAGTGAGCGGATAAGCCCGTGGAATGGGATGCACACGCATACGCACGCACGTGAACGTGCACGACCGCACGCCTTCACGCTCAAGTGTGCGTGGACAGCCTTGCCAACCCGTGGCTGGCGCTCATTGGCCATGAGCACATGGAGTTGGGATTGGCTCTGCCTGACGAGCGCATGCATGAATAGTGAATCAGGCAGTTCATTGGTCCATCGCTGTGTTCGATAATATGCTCAGTGGAAGTTCAGCTCGGGATCCACGAATAGATAAGAAAATTGCGGATTTTGATGTACCATGTTTCCAGTCTTTTAAAATAAGACGTCGTCTGTGCAGCCGATGTACTATTCAATGAAAAGTGCATAATATGATGGTTTCGTAAATACATAAAAGGCAAGTTTTTTGTGAAGTCATCGAGAATGGTTGTCAAGAGGAACGCGAATTGACAAGGTTCTCTTTTAACAAGCCTCCTTAAATTTCTCTCTTTAAACATTGACTTCTACCGAAAAGGCGTAGATACAAAAAAGCAGAACTTTCAACTGTCACCCGAACACTTTCCGATATTAATGCCTAGCGAAAACTCCAAGCACTGGAGGGTTTTATTTGTGAATGTCTCTAGAAGGTTGGGATTCTGCTCTATTATTAATTACTTTACTTTAACTTGGCTATGGAAGCAGTTTGAAGGGAACCTCAATGCTTTGCTGGTGTCTTTTGGAATGGTAGCCGCTTTATTAACGGTCAAGATTGTCAAACCTGTACACCTGTGGCGACCGGAAGCGTGTATCTTTTAACGCATATGTGCGGACGGCATGTGACCCAAAGAGGAAATTAAAGCATACCCAAAACTTCAATTTTGGTGTTGATTTTGTTGAGATAAAGCAACCATTTAATTCCATAGGAGTCGAAAGTGGGTGCCTACTCGGGATCAAAGCGTCAGTGTTTGGATGGAAAGTCACTGAGAGATCTAGGTGGTGGAGTTGTTGACAAATGTGAATTCTCCCGCTTTGTCAACTCATTTGCAAATCAACTTTTCCAAGCACAGTGTTTTTGTTTTTTTTCTTTTTTTCAGCTGCTTCCTCTTCATCCCCATGGAGCTATTTTTGCATTATTAATGGAAGTGAAGCAGTGAATATGCATACATACATCTTTTTTCCACTGAAAAACTTAGTAGCTCAACTTCTGATGTAATTATCCAGTTACACGCACTCTCCAGTTCTCGGGAAACCATTCCACGTTTTTTTCTAATTAACGGTCCATCATTCTTGAGGAATAA